AATCATTATGCAAATTCTTGACTGCATTCATCAGTCACTTTCTCAATTACAAGCTCTTATCACAGCTACCAACCCTATAACATCTCTAATGAACCTCGTTAGCTCTTATCTCGATGTAATAGAAGCTAAAATCAAACAACACAGGTGTAGTATCAATTTGTGATTTTGGTTATCTAAAAAACTTTTTGTCTGATGCTTCAGAATCGGAATAAGATTTTTTCCCCATTGTGACAGAGTTTGAAAGAAAATACAGGTAGTGTTTGGATAAATGCTTTGAAAAATTAATTTTAAATTCTTGAAAATATGTATAAATAGTATGTATTGGTATTTAATTAATATATTATTTCACATGTTATACATATAATGTTTCCTAAAATTTGAATTTTTCTGCATGGGTATTTCGACTCTTTTGCTCGGTAAATAGAACCATTTGCGTAAAATATATATATCTGTTTATTATACACTTTACTAGACACAATACAATAAAGAAATAAATCAATAATATTGAACTGATTTCACATCGCTTATTACTTTATTTAGCATTCTTATCCGATCAGAAGTTTCTGTTGTAATTTGTGACAATCATTTTGTCTAAAAAGTGAAGACTTATTCAATGTGCAATAGAATGCACCCGAAATTAGTCACATAATAAAATGTTTCTAAATTGAATCTTTTTGTTAAGTACATTTTGAAATGTCCCGTTCTGCGCTCTTAATAGTGTCCAATTCGGCCCTAATATTTTATAACGCAGAGACCGCGTTTGACAAACAAGAGTTCGAAAGTTCCATTAATGGGTAAAACAAGGGGTTGGTAGGAATTTTTGGAAATTTGTAATATAATTAGAGTAGAGATCGCATTAAGGCCGTCACTTTTGGTTTATGGCAGCCTTCGGGGAACGTCGCTACAATTTCCTGAATTTCTTGACAGCTGATTTTTATTGGTACTCTTTTAGATGATTTAATTGAATTTCAAAACATCTTTCAAACTCTAATTACTGAACGGAACTCCCACATCCACGGGCATATTAAACAGATATTTCATATTTGGAATGTTTTTTCATGAATCCAATAATTCTTAACCTAATAATATGCTAAACGATCACGTGCGAGGCACGGTGTGGTACAGAAGTTCGTGCATAGATTTTAATTATTGTCATGTAATACCGCTCTAATAAATGTCATTATGAACGTTGGCGAATGCAAAAAAAATACAACACCCGCCCAAATTAAACGTGACTCTTAATATGTTGGTTGTAAGGTGTATTTTACAACGTGAGTGAATTTTTGAATGTAACTTATAATGTTGTAAGGTGTAGTTTCATAATGGAATCGCAATTCAACGTGCGTGACAATGATAGTACGTAAATAATACGTATCCAATGTTTAAGTTTATGTGAATGCATTTAACATTATACAAAACTTTCTAAATTTATAATGTTACAGACAACAATGGACACGAATGTTAGAATTTGTGTTCATTAATTCAAACTAATTCACTATATTTCATATATGTTTAGATATTGTACAACATCAAAGATACCGATCCTTAACTTGACAGTGAATACATCGGAGACATCGACCAACTTATTACATAAGAACCTTAACAAACTGGGGCTCATTTTTAAAAGCCGATATAACAGTAAAATAACACTTAACCCACCTTTATCGTCATCAGAATATTGAACCAAAACAACGGACAATGAGAAAGCAGTAGGCCGTAAAACGCGTTTGCGCGAACCCCCCCATTGGGGGGGCAAGGACAAGGGGAGCCCCCTAAGTCCTACCCTTTAAAAGATTCCACCGTCCTCTCATTTTTAAGACTTTACAATACAGCCATTCCATATATTGTAGGGGGATGCTTAATTTATTAGGCACATATCTATGTGTTGCTTTCTTTCGGGAATTAAATGTGTATGTGTGAGTGTAAGATTAGATTTTTCCGTGCTCCCTCTAATTACGGACGTCAACATTCATTACTAGCTGATGTGGGGACGTCTCTTAATGAGGGCCTGATGTTTTTTTCTCGGTCAGTAAGAACACTTACACGTAATTACTCGAAAGAGAAATGTATTTTAGTGAGAAGACCCCATTTAAACTAAATAAAACCTAAAGTGGATTATATAAGAATCTCTTGTATTTAATCTTATCTAGTTAATAGTCCAATATATCATTAATTATTATTATTTGAGTGCTATTTATTAACACACTATAAAATATGTGGAATATTTTTTTTATCAATTGCCAAAAGTAATTTCTAATTATTTGATCAGTGGTAGGAACTTACGTGTGATTTTATCATGTAAAAATTCTTTACCATTCAACACTCTTCAATTTGAAACCGCTCTTTGAATCCGTAATATAGACAACATTATTATTATTTTTACCTATATTTTTTTATTCTAAAACATTTATTTCAAAACAATATTTTATCATTTCATTTACACAAAAGTGTATTAACATTTTCCATATCATATACAGCGTAGACATATTTTAAGGAAAAATAAAGTTAGTGACACAGATGGTTTCAAGTGATATTTAGTTAAGTTTTGACTTATTAAGTCTTAACTTCTTATTAAAAAATAATTTTCTTTCTTTATTAGTATTGCTTGTTTGAAATTACCAATTTTTTCTTTGACGTAATCAGTAAGTAAAGAGCTTAATTGTCATTGGACTTCCTCCATTGTGCTGTCATTAAAGAGAAATATTCAACTTTTAAATATGGGTCATGATTATAAGGTACAAATATAACTTGGAAAAAACCTATACTTCTTAACAAGATACAACTACAGATTAGTCTGCTGTTACTTCTTTTACCCAAAAACACATTCAGAGGAATTACAATGGTGACTGTAAGATTTAAATAGTAGTCGAAGTTAGATTAAAAATAAAAAGGTTTTTTGAACGCTTTCGTATGAAGTGTTTTATTATTATTAACTAGTTTTTGCCCGCGACTTCGTCCGCGTTAATTTCATCATCTTCTTCTTCTATATATATAAAAATGGATTGCTGTACCTTAGTCGCGCTAAAACTCGAGAACAGCTAAACGGATTTATCTTAGTTTTGAAATGTTCGTGGAGGTTCAGGGAAGGTATAAAAGCTGAAAAAAATTGAATCACTACTGGGAAAACCATAAAAACAGCCCTTTTCTATTTCCCATACAAACGTTTTTTTTTACATTAGATTTGACAACTAATATGTCAATCATTCTGTCGCACTTCAAAACACGCAGATTTATGGCTTACAGGTAAACTCCAAAAATATAAATAAAAAACGTAATAGATATTTCTTGATTATAGGGCGATACGAAGTTCGCCAGGTCTTCTAGTTAGTAATATATGTATAGCTGACCGGGCGAACTCTATTCCGTCCTAGAGGCCATAAATAATCAGGTTTTTCCTGTTTCAATCGAACAGAATGATTGACATATTAGTTAGTTGTCAAATCTAATGTCAAAGAAAACATTTGTATGGGATATAGAAAAGGGCAGTTTTTAGGGTTTTCCCGAAAATGAATCAATTTTTCTCACCTTTTAAACCTTCCCTGACCTCCACGAACATTTCAAGACTAAGATAAAATAAATCCGTTCAGCTGTTCTCGAGTTTTAGCGAGACTAAGGAACAGCAATCCATTTTTATATATATAGAAGATTAACTTATCTTAAACTATACATGTAACGAAATTATTTAATATATTTTGGAATACAAACAATATAAAAAGTGCCGACAAAACATTATTGATTAATAATTTTTAAACGTTACCTTTGTCCATACCATACAATCTATATACAAGACATTAATAAATCAAGAATCTAAGACACGTTATACGTCGACGGTGATTTAAAAAATCAACAAAATGAAAGCGGCAACTGAATACAAAGTGGAATGAAAAAAAAACAAAGCGGAAAAAGAAGAAGTTCATTAAACGTTTACGTGTTGTGAACGAGCCAAGTTCACATGTCACGGCTCGAACTCAAACAGCCCCTGTTTGTATTGGACGGTCGCCTGCATACTAAGAATCTTCCACCTTTCATTTGAACATTCGCTTTCACTTTATAAAAAGACTTGCTAATTTTTATTCCTATTTTATGGATACAAATTTATTGAATATTAACAGTCATATTAGTATAGTGTCTGACTAGCGCTACGAGTATATTAAATGAAAATATTATTTAAATATTTTCGGAGTGATTTCAATCAAATGTTCTAAATAAACACAATTTATTCTTTGACATCGCCAGAAGTTGAAATGAATGACCTAAAATAAAACAAACAACAAATAGGTTGATCCAAAGAAAACAATCGCTCCTTCAAAATTTAATATCGAGAACAATAGATTCGAACTTCTTAAAAAAATAACACTTTTAGAATTAGAACGTGTTTTTTATAATAATACCTTTGCGAACTTGTATTTTTTTTACTTTTTGTAATTAATTTGACTGTGACAACAGCGGTCAACTTAGTTTATGAACAAAAAAAATATTTTAAAAATATAAAGGGGCAAAACTAATAAAGTCGTAATATACGAAACTCATGATTTTGTCTCATATTTACTATTTTTAATTTATTAAGGGGCAAGTTTACACATTAAACATTAACAAAGGGATCCAGGGCGCTTCGTGTTCAAAGAATTTAGACCGAACTTCGTATTTTAAAGGCAATTTGAACCTACACTCTTATCCTGATCGCAAGATAATTTATCTTAACGAAAGAAAGGGGTGGGTGAGGCTTAGGGGGATCCCCAAAAATTGGGTAAAAATGTTGCCAGCCAACGATTAAACCGTTGGGGAGATGCGTTATATTAATCACCACCCGCTAGCAGTCGTCTTCGAGGATTTCTACGGAACCACGGAGCGGATATTACCTCAAATATTTGCTTTATTATATAAAAATTATAATACACCTTGTAATATATAAGAATTAAGTTCATATTCTAAGAAGATTTAGTATCACCTTATCTTTTGTGATGAAAGTATTATATGAATTTTTAAAACATGATTGATGGCTAATCAGTCATAGCAGTAATAACAGCTCGATACGATACCGAAGTCGCTTTGTCCTGTATAGGAGGCAGGGAGCCACCTTGGCTTTGTTTTAATATTTTCGCAGGCATTATGAAGGGTTTCCTTGCTTTCAAATAATTTGGCTTCTGCTCGTGAAGTTTTGATAAAAGTTTCATTCTATCAATAATTAACGGCCACAATCTGAGGTCTGATGCGATTATAGAGGTCGTGGTCTCTGAGTTATCTTCATTTTTCATTTGTAAGTAGGGTGCTTTTAGGGTGTTTTAGAGATATAAGCTGATTTGGAAAATTTAATACAAACAAATTAATACGAAATTAAAACGTCATGCCTTAAATTTTAACGTAAATTATGAAAAGGGTAATCTTCTATAGTGAAATGTTATAAATTAGATAAAATTTATATTGTAAATCATTAAATAAATAACAGAGAATGAATAATGTCACAGCAACCTGTATATATCGTAAGTTTACCGATGTCAAAAAACCCCACTTAAGTACATGTCCTATAAAAGTCATAGAAATGCCAGAATAAATTAACATAAACGCATATACGAATAAAATATCAGTGGTGTATGAAAAACTTCCGCAAAATTTGCTCGCCCAAATGACGATGCTTGTTTTTTGTTCGTCTATAACTCAAAAAAAGAAATGTATGGATACGACTCTACTAATTAACAGAATTACTATTGACAAATAATGAAAAATCTATTATTTTCTAATCAAGGTTAAGATTTACTAATGTTAGAAAACCTGTAATAAGTTGTATTAGTATTCATCCTTTAATATGAAAGAAACGGTTTTTGTGTTACTTCATGAGATGAGATATTTTAATTACATTAATTTTACACCCGTATAAACTTGTAAATTTAATATTCATAATGATGGTTAATTGACAAAAATGAGGAAAAACTATCGTTACGTTCAATTTCTCAATTTTAATCAAGTATGATATAGTAAGACTAGGTTTAATAGTATCTCTTCTTCAAACATCACAACTGTGTCTTGTCCACATAATCTGACGCACCCTAACAAACTTATTAAGATTTCTTTTCTTTTTACTCTGTACGTGGTTAGCGACGTATGACGCAAGCCGCTGGTGGGGGGAGGGGGCCAGGGGGGGGGGGTCGCCCTCACGCATGGCCGCTCTCATGATTTAAGCACAGGGATAAGAATGAAATTAAAAATACATCCTCGCCCGCTCCTTAGGGTGCCGGGGAGACATATATGCAAATGAATCCACCCTCATAAGATGGGGGGGCATTTTTTGTTAGAATGCTATTAATTTGGGGTGTAACTCACTAAGTGTGTGTAAGACGTCCCTAACGTTCAGGATTTTCTTTAAATTATGTCAGTATACAAGAGATTATGTACGGTATAATGCGTCCGCGGTAATTTGTACGAGTAGGTAGGTTACGGTTTGACATGCGACGGTTTACTTATATATTTTTTATTAAAAAATTCTTCAGCTTTCAGGTTAATGCGGTGGAAATTAAAAGAGATTGCGTCATATCGTTTATTACATAATATAAAGTATATCTGGGTCTGTGTACTTGCAGACTGAGTGTCTCTGACTGACGGTATGTCCAGGAGTTTTAGGGAAATCCATTACGTTTATCCGCTTATTCTGGCAGATACAGAGTATTTGAAATTTCCACTACATAAAGATAGATATTTTAAAATATTTATACATAAAATGATATCTACCATTACATGGCTGGTACAACACTTGATACTATAAATGGCCGAACATTTTGTCGTATAAAACATTCCAGTCATCTATTTTTACAACACAATATCACTGCACAATCGAGTTTGAGGCACAAGAGGATTTTTCAATGAAGGTTCACGCATTGTAAATCAAAGCAATAATGTAAACGTGCTCCAGACGTTTGATGATAATCGACGCCAAGGGCGCAAACACACATTCATTTTGATGACGGAGCACTTAGCATTGTTTAATTTGGTTATTCGAGTGTTTAACACAAACTGAGCAAAATTATATATTGCAAATGAATTTTTATACCGCTCTTTAAAGCGTTTACATGCATATTTTACGCAATTTTAATAACTTTGAGTAAGCTAGATGATAATATTTACTTTCCGAAGTGATAGTAATACTTATTAAGTAATTAATATCTTTTAGAGAATCTTACGATATAATTTCCGTCTTTTTTAAACACACGATTATAATAATAAGAAAACACGTTGAGGATCTCAATACAATAGTGTCACTTTAAGCCAAACAAGCTTGGGAAACCGAAACTTAATTTCTTGTTCCCAATTAACAGTTTAACAGATTTAACATAAAGGGTGTACATACATACATTTCTTTGGGGAACTCATTATTAATATTCTTATTACAATTTTGGTTAACAACATCGTTTTTGTGATTACTGTAAACAAAATTAATGGACTTGCAACATTAATATAGTGGGGTCGGAAGTATCTTAATTACATTCTAAAAAACATTTGTGGATAAAACTTAAAATTATATTGCAAATATATTTGTATGTATCACTATCTTGAATGTCGTGTTTTTAGGACATAATTGCTAGCTTTTATTATTCCCAACATTAATATGAATGAATTATTGCAGCCAGTAACGTTTTAAACTAGTTTCAAAACACTTGAATTCAAATTCCTATTAACTCAGCTTATATGGTCAGGACCAAAATATAACTTTTAGGTGAATTCATAACGCTAACCAAAACTGTAGATCAAAAATTTTTCTGTATAATCTTTGATTCTTTTCAATCACACTTTCCTAACATTAAGATTTTTCGTACACTTTCAATAAAACATTTAATATTACGTACATATATAATATATTTATATGAAAATCACAAAATCTACCTATTTGATTGTTTTCGCCATATACTTGATATAAAAAACCTTTCTGAACTTTGCTTAGTTTACGCCTCGCATCGCAAAGGGCAGATCGATGCTTGTCAAACAATAAATGTCACGTCCACTCCCTATGTTTTGGCAAGTAACTAAACAAACAAAACTCCACCTTATTACCATGTAATAGAAGCTATGTCACACGCTGAAGTTATTTGCTAAACATCACCTCCCGATTTTTCTTTTAGGTGAGAATCGTGCCCTAATTTCTAGAGGGAAAATGTTTGTGATATTACGTCTAAAGTGTTTCAACGATTCGAGATATGAGAGTTATTGTTTTTCATAACACAATACTTACATTAACATTTAATATAGGTACTTTATGTATTCTGTTTTCAATAACGAGTCTATATAAACATAAGAGTGTCTCAGTTTCAGTCGTAAGCCGTCGGTTGGCTTAATTTAAATTTATTTAAATCCAAGTTTATTGTTCTTTCCTTATCACACTCCCTGATAAGGTACAGGTGTGCCCGCTATGTAAATACTGCTCATTATGCTCTTGTCGACTACCTACATCGATTTGTCATTGTATTACAAGTTAGAGGAAAACTCTCGGGATATCTGTTTGTTGTGGTTTACCAGAAAAATGGAGGAAAAATTTAAATGCCACTGTTTTAATTTCATCTATGCCACATGACTGTTCTGTTATTAATTTTTTTATAACTTTCACCTTTTCCAAATCTCCGTATATATTTTGTTACAGCCAGAAGTAATGATATGTATAGAGTAATATAAAAATATTCAGATTTTGTTGACAATATTAATAACAAGTTATTTATAAGACAAATTATATATTAAAAAAAAACTTTTATATCATATATATTTTTATAAAGTGAAGGCAATATAGTATAGAAAAAACCTTTTATAATCAAAGTTATATATAATACTGTAAACATTTACGGTTATAAATGTTAATAAATTCCAAAGTCGGTCTTAAAATAAATTTATGTTCAGACAAAAGAAACACGATATCAGGAACAAATAATTCAGTCAGATACATTATAAGCAGTTCCGTATTGACCTACATACTAATGTTGGCTTAAATCTATCTCGAACACAATATACATAGTGTGCTAAGTCTTAACGCATGTTGCGAGGCAGTTTGTCTGGCCGCAATCAAAGCCGCGGCGTCGCCAATCCATGATTAATGCTATTCTTAATTACTAACTCATTCTTAAGGGGTATACATGTGTTCCCCTTAATTTATTGACTTTTGAGGGCGGTTTGATTACTAAAGTTTTATTTCTACTACGCTGTACATGTATAATTTATCTCCTGTAAGGACACCAATTGATTCTGAATTAAAGATTTCGAAGCGAATTATGCCTTTCATTGAACTGGTTTTTGTATTAATTTAACAACATTTGTTAGATTAATTTACATGAGTGGGTGGAACTTGAAACTAATGTTGTTTTAATATATCCTTACATATGTACATATATTCCAGTACTTGTAGGAAATAATATTGCTTTGAAGCTCCGCTATTTTGTATAGAAAGTAAAAAATACATTTTATATGTTACGGGAAATGATACATCAATATAGAATATTGACACTAATAAGAAACACTATAAATAAAACAAAATAAAAGGATGAATACAGTGGAAGATCCTTTCGTCGGTCTGTTTGGCAGAAACCTCCGCATGCAGATGTCAAAATTAGAAAAAAACCGTCAGTTTTAATACACGCGCGTCACGTTCCACGCTCATTTGGAGGCGTTCATCGATCGAAGACAAAGCCTCGGCAGGCCCGATAAACGAATTAAGGAAATGGGAGATTTTTTATCTGGGCCGAGGGGAGGCCACGCGTCGTAACGCAGCAATACTTTCTTATGCAAAGTCCCTCCGATAATTAGGTGAGTGTGTGCCTGTGTGAGTTTTGTTTTTAATTTTGGGGTGCGATTAGTGGAGGTGCGGATGTCTGGCTGTATGTATATTAAATTTTTCCTGTACGTGTTCAGAGTTTTTAATTTATTATTAGGTTTTGTTAGTAAATTCTTCTCTCTGTATATATTATTGCTCATCTTATAATTAATTAATTTAATTTTTTTCTATATTATATAAAAGAACAGCGGAATCGTTCAAACTTAAAAGATATAACTCCCAGACTTCTGGTATATCTCACATAATTTCTAACAAGTTTTTTGCTTTCTACATGCTTTTACCTATATAACTTGCTTTCAAGAATTCAAATCGCTTAGAAATAAGTAACCACTTGAAAAGTTTAGTCGGAACAAACTTACAGTAATATAATTTTATGTTATATTCGGCGATGACAAAAACAAATGTAACACTTCAACAATACCAAAGTCGCCTTGTCTGAGCGCACATGTATTT